CTCTCTCTCTCTCTCTCTCTCTCTCTCTCTCTCCCTGATTCCCCTCTTTCTTTCTCCCCAAACATTTTTTGGTCTCCTGATTTTTTTTTCGTTATCCAGTTTTTTAATGTCTAAAAATAAATAATTTTTAGGAAAAAAACATGTATATTTTTTTATTTTTTTCCAATTTTTTAGGTTTTTCATTTCAAAAATAAAATTTTTTAGAAAAAAACATTTTTTCTATTTTTTGTTTTCCAAAATTGTTTACATTTTACAGCCAAACTAAAGCAAAATTAGGTTTGATATGGTTTGCTACAAAAAAAAAGGAAATAAAATTCTGAATTCTTACTTTCATTTCATCCTTTTAAATTACCCATAGACAAAACAAACATAAATAGGCACAGCCCTACAGCATCTGATATGCATATAACAATAGGTAAGTTTTAGTGGCACATCTTAAGTTGAAATTTTTTTCCCTTGAAAATTTAGATGTTTTAAGTATTCTATACCTATATGGAAGTTTAAGATGAGTATCTGTCTGATATAAAGATGTTATGAGATGTGGTTACCTCCTACATCTATTTTAGTACCACAAATCACTAGTCAAACTGATCTGGCGCTAGCAAAGCCTAAGTAGAAGGTTTCTTTCACATTGTCTATTTGTTGTAATCTATATTACAAGGACTCGAAGATGAGTGTTGGATACAGGTACATTCAATTTTTTTCTAAGTTTTTCCATATATTTGGAGGGCCAGACCTTCATACCCATGTCTGTTGGATATGTGTTGAACATGGGTGCTTCAGGGAAAATGAAGAGTCAGAGCAACATAGATTTTAATAGCCTTCACATGTATGACAATCAGTATCTTAAAATACCATATCCTAATATGAACCAGTTATCAAAGTAATGATCCCAATACCTAGTTCCTCAACCTCCCAGCCAGCACGGCCCGAACCTGGTAGCCCTCGTCCAGCTTCAGCTTGTTGTGTTTTGGCTCGGAATTTTTTCTTGAGATTGCCAAACTCATCATACATCTCACCATCATCCTGAAATTGGATCATAATTGCCATCACATTAAGATGCATAATAAATTAAGCTTCAAGTAATGATAGTGAAGATATAGTTTACTTCTTCTGCCTCACGTCGACGTCGCCTTGTTTCCTCTATCTCTTCTTCATCAAGTTCCTTGTAACCACCACCACGTCCTCCTCTGTTAAGAACAGGTTTAAAGCAAATGCAAGAAGTTTTGCACATAGAAATACACTCAAAGGACCAAAGGGGGCAAAAGCTTGGTAGAACTGCGGTAATTTGGCATAATGACATAAATAACTTGGTAGCAATTCACTCCACTTACAAAAAGCCCATTAAATGAGTCAAATCAATGGGGTGGAGGAAATGAAATGATAAGAAAAGAATGTAGATAAGAAAATGAATATAATGCTTGATAAAATCAATTAACTATAGCATAGAATGCCGTGGCAGCACAGGACAAGAATGCATATGCAGTAACACTGCTCACTTCAGAACACCAGATAGAATTAGGTAAATACTGTTAACAAGGATTAGAATGGACTGTGTTTAAGAATAGATGCAATTCAGGTCATAAGAGGAAAACTACTTTTCTTTTTAGTTTGCACTCCATTGAAATGAATGTGTATGTCATAAAATTTATGAATTCATGGAAACTCATATTTTCTTCAAGAACAAATACCCTAAATCTAATAGTCATGACAGGGCATACACAGAGTCTTCTTGCTCCACATCTTGATCATAGGTAGCCGGTAGAACTATATATTCTAATAAGTTCAAATGATGGAAATGGGTAGCTAGGGGAAGATGATGGAATGAACTTTAAGAGTGTTACATACCAATTGTACTAATAAAACTCAATCAAGCCATTAGAAATAGCATTTAACCCAGCATATTGAGCCCTAACTATCATCACATTTTCCATTTACACGGAGCCCAAAACAGAATCAAACTAACTGAGAAACATATTTAACAGAAATGAGTGAAACCAGAGTCCCCAAGACATTTGACATAGGAAGAAAGTACTGAAAGTAGTTTGCGGTAAACACAGCCTGAATACTCCAACAAGGAGCATAAGTAGATGTAGATCACATTGGTAACAGCAAACAAAAATAAAAAAAAGATAACATTTATTCTCCGCATAAAGGTTTTTTAGTGAGATGCTTAAAATGAAAAAAAAAGAAAAAGACTAGTTAGTTTTTCAGACCATTGCATCCTTTATCACAAATAAAATTTGCTAAATATGAAGGAGATAAAACACAGGCAAATACAAGAATTAACTTGTGTAATGGAATTTGCTTTTATTTTCCACCTCCTTCCAGTAAAGGGAGCACAGAACAAGTTGATTTTCGTTTTTTAAAGAAAATGATAAGTAAGCAAAGGTATAATGCATTTCAAAGAAAGCAAAACCACATTTCAGCAAGTTTATTTGAATTGGGGAAGGTGGATATCAGAAGGAAATTCTGTCATGCTTGATTGGCAATAGTAACCCAAATAATATCTATACTGTTAATGAAACATGGTTCAGAGCTTTCTTTATAACAACTAAAACGCCATAAACAGAAATTATATTTTGGAGAGAGAGAACGAGAGAGAAATTAAAAGAGGTGCAAGAAATGCCCATCCAAAACCCAAAAGGTTAATCAGAGAAAACAGAAGCACTCACAGGATTACATGAAAAAAATTATTTATACATATATAAATTACAGGTGAAAATAACCTCAAGGATATTCTAGTAATAAGAATGAAATGAAGCAAACGATACAACAACAGAAAACAACATAGAAAAGTAAATGAACTACACAAAGATAAATATTCAATTTTTCAATGAAAATATCTCAAAGATTTTATTTGCATCTAAGAAAACACATGTCAAATAGTTATCACCTCACACCACCCTCATTGTGACCAGGTTTATTGGTGTTGCATATATTGCATTTCGTACGCTTAGCCCAGTTGATGTTGCCACACCTATAAAACAAAAGTTGAAAGACCTGGCATGAATAATGCTGCATTTAGGAAAGGTTTTCATTCAAGTATCGAAAACATGCTCATTTCCAAACATTTGCACAGTATAAGCGTTACAAAGTGGAAGACACCACACAAACTACTCCCAGTGGTTAGGACACAAGTTGAATAGTCAAGGTAATAGTCAAGGTAATGGAACCAATTTAAATAGACCAGCAAATTATTAGAGACTTATCAAGTGGACCTAGCTCAAGTGGTAAGGGAGGGATGTTATTAGGCTAGAGATCTTAAGTTCAAGCCATAATTCTCTGCCTTGTACAAAAGAAGAGAAAAAGAAAAAGAAAACCTTGACTTGCCATGTGCAATCAAAGATTCCTATTCAAAATCTCTGAAAAAGTAAACAAAACTGCATCTTAACAGAGATATAATGAAAAGACATGCACATGTCGAGATGCACAAAGAAAGGGCAGGACATGCATGCCTCAAACACTAATGCCAAACCTCAGTTAAAGCAGAAGTCATAAATCACAAATCCGCCTACTTGGTTTTATGCACTGCAAGGCTTGACAAAACTTAGGATTTTAGAGATTAAACACGATTGTGAAGAGCTTAGCAAGAATAGAGAACTGAAAATCTATGCCTAAGATCAGACAAGGACCAGAATAAAATAAAACATCTCACTTAAGCATTAGAAGTCATACATAGGACAAGGCCAATCATTTGGGCCAAAAAGTCCACCAGTAGCACCCACTGCTCCTCGGCCATGACTTCCAGAGTCATGGGCACCACGACCCTTCCCATGACCGCCAGCCCCTCCACCACCACCAGATGCACCTGCAGGTCGAGCACTTCCGCAACGGTTGCACACACCACGGAAGGCGAAATTTACATTGGAACAACTGCAACCAAAAATATAAAATGAGGAAGCATCTACATAAGGATCAGAGTTAAAGACAATTTAAAAGAAAAGGTTATAAAAGAGCAAGAAGAAGCTGCTCACCAATATCACATCACAGACCTTGTATTTGGACAGAGCCAGTCTCCCTCCTGTTGCCATGTTTTTCCCGAAGCATCACCCCGACCTCTACCCCTTCCACCACCCCCATTCATGTCCCTAGCCGCATCTTCCTCCAATCCGCCACCATCACCAGCCACAGTTGGAGGATCTCCACCAGCATTACTATTCTTACTCTCTGCTATAAAAACCCCAATTGTGCTTCCATGGAAATCCTTGTTGTTAAACCATTCAACAGCAGCCAATGCAGCATGGGGATCCTCATAAGTAACAGTAGCATCTCCTTTGGGCTCATTTGTTGCCTTGTCTCTGTATAACCATATCTTAGGTCGACCAGTTCGCTTATCTTTCTAAAAAAATCAGCAAAAACACAATAATAAGATATATAACACATGCAGCTGCGTATCATTGTTTTTAAATTAGAAGATTATACCTTTAGCAAGCCAATGGTCCCGAAATATTCAGCTAACATAGTTTCATCGGTTCCCTGAGGTAGATTACAAACATAAACAGAACCATTTGAAGGGACTCCTCTTCCTGAATGGCTTGCCATTGTTTCCCCAAATTCATCAAAAACTTCCTAGAAAGTTCTAAGGAACATTATATGCTTACCTAAATTTATAATTAAAAATAAAGGTAAGAAAAGAAGAAGAAAAATGCGTAACTGAAAATACATGGTGGCATTAACAGAAATAATAATAATAATAACAATAATAATAATAATAATATCACAACTAAAAACGATACGATAGATCATACCTTAGAAAATAAATTTTTAAAAAAAAGAAGATCTTTAAAACGAATTAAAACTTTAGCGAACATAAATTAAATAGAATCGAAAAAAGTTAGGGTAACCTACAAACAAGAAACAAAAGGTAAAAGATCTGAAGCCTAAGAATTAAAATCGAGGGAAAGGAGAAACGGTATTCTCACGGTGGTTGAGGCGGAAGATGGAATGTGCAAATTTTGCGACGGCGGTGATTTCGTCGCCGGCGACACCGGTAGTTTATTTTCTCTTCTTCGTTACGACTTTCGAAAGGATAGAGCCGAGGGCTTTCGTGTTACTACGAGTCCTGGCGTCCGCTGTGTTTGATTAATTAATTGGAAGAACGTAAACAAAAATGAGTGCGACCTTTTTCTTTTTAAATATATAAATAATTCATTGACTTCAATTTGATATTTGTTTTATCTTTTTTCCTGTAATTATTTACTACTTATTTAACAGTTATTATAGACTTAATTCAGATGGGAAAAGTTTAGGTAAAATTTATTATTATTTTATTTTTAATAAAAATCTTACCAATTTGTTTGAAAAATCTTATTAGTGCTTTTTCTTGTATAAAAAATTGTATAATCCTTTTAAAAAATTTTAAATTATTTTAAAAAATTTTTATTTTTATATTCCATTCTATTAAATTTTTATATTTTTCAAATAAAAACTTTAAAAATTAACTAACTGAACTTGATATTATATCCACGTGTTATGTCATATTATTATTTATTATATTTTTAAAATAAAAATTTAATTAAGTTATTATGCTATATTAATATGTTATGTCATTATTTAGTTTGACATAGAAAGTTAAATGGTATTTTAACTATCAAACTTATTTAATCAAAAATAAAAATATAAAAATTAAATTAAATTTAATAAAAAAGTAAAAATCTTATTTAAAATTTTCCGAATAATTAGAGATAAATAATTTTTTAATTTCTTACTATTCGTTGCATCATTTTTTAAAATTATTTTTTCATTTTATTAGAATGTTAAATTGTACAATTTTTTTTTTTAGGTTTTATCCATGGGACCAAATTGTACATTAGGTGTTTTAAGAGCCTTCATATGCTCACTCTTATTCTTAGTCTCATGCTGTTTTAACGGAGGGACAAACACTCTTGTCAACTAACACTATGATGCTGATTTGTATTCCTCTTCCTCTTTTTCAAGCATAATTCTTTTATGCATTGGCATAGGTTTTATTATTGTCTACCCTTTTTGATTTATACTCTATTGAACTATGCCCTATTTTCTATTTTCCCTCTTTCCAGCCTCTTTTGCTTTCCAAGACATGTTTTGCTTGGCCAATTGCAGAGCCAAATGTTGGTGATGGTGTGGTTAGCCACCCCACAATAGCATTTGGAGTTACAACAGCCTTAAGATGAACTATATAGTGGTCTTAAGGGATATAAGAGACTAGGCTATAGCTCATAAACTTGAGTATAGGTTGTCTTGATACCTTATGTATGTGGCTATCTGGTCTTTTTAAGCCTTTTAGAAGAGCACTTTATATCTGCAATTCTTATCCAAACACTATACATACAAAATCTGAAATAGAACAAGGCAATATCAATCTTTTAGGCAGATCGAAATGTATAATAAGATATATATATATATATATATATATATATATATATATGAGGCACGCAAGTCATTTATTTAATGAGATGATATTGCCATTGAAGAAGGTGTTGAGAAGGTTATTTTCAAATTTGTAGCAATTCAAGATGATGATAAGATACTCCATTGAAGCCAACTTCATGTTGGAACTATCAATCAGACTTAATATTTGTATTAGGGGGATTAATGGCAGCTGCATTGATCCTTTTGAGGGTTTAATTTTAACCCTTCAATTTGCTGCAGTGTTGACTAATATTAGTCACGTTGAATACTCCAAGGATTAGCAATAGTGGCTACCTAGAACTTATGGTGGGATCAACCTTCCAATGGCAGCACTACTACATCTTGAATAGCTGTCAGCTTTGCTCTACCACCATACTCGACTGGCACGGCTTCTTCACCTACCTCATCTATAAAGCATTTCTTCTCATCTTCATTGGTCACAATCACAATCTGCATTCATTGTTGCAAAACAAGCCAAATCGGTTATCACATAACATAATATTCCGGTTCACTAAACACGCTCCAATTAACTTTACAACCAGAAACTCCTTTAATAGCATAAATCTACAAGTGATATGAGGCATAGACACAGCAGGGCAGTCAGGCATATTGATCCCTATTTTTCGGCTACGAAGATGCACTAAATCCATGTTGCCGACATATATCCACCACCATTAAGTATAAAAATCATAGGGGCCAGTGAGTTTATTACATATCTAAAGAGTTACACTTCTGCTAAGATTCTAAACACCACCATTTAAGAAAAAGTAGTAACTACCTTTTCCAGTGTTGCCTTCTCAATGAAGCGAGAAACCATCCTCCAAACACTAACAAAAAAACGTGGCATATGTAAAATGTACAACTTTGCTAAGCGCTCTGGGAAATATGCCTGCATGAAGTGAGGATTAAGACTAAATAAGTACCAGTGAAGAAAAGGTATCGAGTTTATGAAACAGAACTTAGAGTTAAATTCAACTTATTATCTGTTGGGATTTAGGAGAGTTAAGTACAGTTCTTCCCATATTATCTATTTCCTTAATTAGACATGGAAAATAGCCTAGTTTCATTGGGAAATATATTAGCAAAAACCAACAAGCAGGTTAGACAGACAAATTGACAGGCAGGATAAGAATCTAGTGAATACTTGGGAGACAAAATGGCCCGATTTTTAATTTTAAAGAATGCTATAAACAGTTTATAAAAGATGACCTCATAATCAGATTGTACACTAAATCAACCAGAAGACATATGTCAAGCATTACTATGTCATTAAGTAGGGTTCTGCTTACTAGGATTTTATTCCACACAGATACAAAACGTTAGTAGGCCCAAGAAAGTTAACAAGAATTCAGGATACCAGAAAAAAGTGTTCAGAACTTTACTCAATTTTTTAAGAATATACCCCTGTTATTCTGTAGCCCACATGGAACATTTAGCTTCTTTGTATGGTAAGTGATATTAGAACTAGCAAGTTCAAGTGACAGAAAGAATTAACAACCTCAGCTTTGCATCCATATGAATAATTTGGATAAAAGAATTGGGGAAAAGAAAATCTATGACAAAAGTATGGTACAAAAAATTGGTTTACCTGTTTATTTTGAAGGGAGAAAAACAAGAACCATTAACAAACATTCCAAAGCAGGGTTGAGAAAGTGGAGAGCTGGACAGAGTTATAACTTCCAGCATTTGAATGATCTCAGCAGGCCAATATGGTATGCCTCACAGCCTGAGAGTTATTTTTGTCTCTTACCAAAATATAATAAATCTATGGGAGGTGGAATCAGTTTTCAACGGAGCCAACTCTACTCTGAGGGTGGTTTCTGCATTTTTTACGACATGTACCCATATTCTCTCACTTTTTACCTTTATATGAATTAAGGGATGCCATGTGTGAACAACAAAACTCTTCATACCATTATATAAGTTACCATTAAAGACATCCAAAATATTTTCAGCAAAATCACAGAGCTATCATTTCTTTTTTCCCATGCCCTATCCTGGTTTTTGTTTTCTTATATAAGCCACATAAAATATTGTTCTTCTGAACATATTCCGAAAACATAGGCTTACCTGTAAGAACTGAAATCCAGTTATTAATCCACGCGCATCAACATTTTTGTACGTAATTTGTTGAAAATCAAGAATGCCAATCAACTTTTCATTTCCTAGTTCTCTTCCTTTGACAGAGCTGAAATAGGCACAACTCACCAAGTCAAAAAATAAAATAATAAAGGGAGAAGCAATGAAATAACCAGCATCATGTATATGAAAATATGAGCCTTGGAGCTTGTATTCCAAAACAACCTCCCACAACAATCATCATTTGTAAATCAGAATGATACCTTGCTAAGGTTTTGTCTAAGATATAAATCACAAACTCTGCATCAAGAGATAAACAAAATTAATCAAATTTCACAAGCTGGCCACTTTTAAGAATATGTAATGAGAGATAATCAATTTCAAATAATTCTACCATTTTGGTACTAATAGTCATTGGCAGCAGGATAATGCAAGTTACAGTGCAATGCAGGCTTAGTACATCAGATGAAGTCAGTATCAGATTTCCACTCCCAATTACCAAAGAAGGGCACAGTAAAACATATATGAAATTAGCATATCATCTTATGAAGTCATGCGTACAACAGCAGCTGCATGATACCATCCAGAAGCTGTCATACTCAGTTACTCACCCATCAGTGGGCAGTGGCAGAACCAGATGTATAACTTTTATAAATCTCCTATTCCTTAAGGATTGAACACCAATCTATTTATGCAGTGAGATGTTACTCAACCATTTAATTTAAAGGTTGTTGACTTTGGACCTAAAATTCCAGATTTTGTGTCAATTCTCAAGTCATTACTCAGAATAAAGTCACTGGAGTATGCTCAAATCTATTGTCAAAAGTCAAAACCCTTTTCTAACAAATAGGTCTCAAAAATCACTACTTTAAACTATAAAAAATATCTAAAGAATTGAATTTTGAACATAAAAAATGATAGGAGTCTTGCTTGGTACAAAAGACAAACATAACATATGAATAGAATCATACATAAGCTTCATTATAGTATTTCTAATTAAGATTAATTATTTATAAAGTTTACTTGCAAATATAGAATACCTTAAACTTGAAAGGCCACAAGTTTAATTTCTGCAAGGACATGTGTGAGTTACCTAATATAATAAACAGGATTTAAAACCTTTTGGAACCCAGTTTTATTTAGCTTCCCCATTATGTTTCGCCCTTATGATAAAACTTTTTTGTCATGACCCCTACAATTCTAGTGATCCATTTCATATGGACAATCCTGATCAAAGACATCATTTCACAAATTGGAACAGATCAAATTTGAGGCAAACCTAATCATAACTCCATCAATATGTATGAATTATAGCAAATATTTATCCCTTATGGATAACAAAAAATTAAAGTAAATTATAAGCAAATTGATCAACCATGATAAAGAAGAGTGGAATTAATGAGCTAACTAATTACTTTTGAACTGGATAAGATCCTTTGGAGGAAAGTGCTTGCATGCTTTGACAATTAACACTGGATATCCTGTCTTTGATGAGTCTTGCAAAAAAATCTTTCTGGCTTCCAATTGATCAGGCACTTCAGCTTCTGCAATGAACCCGTTTGGAACCATAGAAGACCTCCATTCGAGCCACCGGACAAACATCTTTGCAGCCTTTTGTGTGTCCATTGATCTTGCAATCAAGAACCTCATGAGCGTTGGATCCCCATATTTCTACCACACCAAAAAAAAAAAAGGTTCAAAAACATATTAAAGAAAAAATGAATTGAAATTCAAGTATAATAAAAATTGCATTTCTGTCACAAAAGGAATTAGTTAGCTACCTCTGTTGAAAACCCAAGTTTCTCAACTGATTTCCTCATCTGGGTCAGTGCAAGTTCTTGGCTTTTCTCCATGTTAGCGCAAAAGGAAGCTACTTTTGGCTTGTTAGAGAGTGTTTCTGAACAAAAACCTGAGATAAAAAAAGAAGAAAGAGTTTTGACCCAGTTATCAAAAGAGGTTGCCCTACTCGTTTTGACACGTTAGATGCAAGAGAGAGAGACAGAGAGAGAGATGGGTTGGGTTTGAGTTTTGACAAAATGGAAGAAAAGCAGGTGAGTTAGGCTGTGTAGCCAGAGATATGGGGAAGAGCTGACAGTGACATAAAGGACTGGTTGGCTGTTGCTTTGGGAGTTAAACTCCATTTTGAAAGCTACACATCTCAAATTTAACAAATTCTTTAGTCTTTCACCCAACAAAAAATTAAAAAATCAGCTACAATACATGAATTTTGGAAGATGATTAAACTGATTGGTTGGGAAGCTATTCTTCTATCAGCCACAGAAGCAAGCAAGCATCCATTAGACTCTTTGTACAATTATACCGCCAATCCATGTTTCATTTCTTTGTCATGTTAAATTAAATAAATAAATATAAACACGTCACAAATAATTATTTATATTAAAATATAAAATATATAAATATATTTAATAATTATGTAACAGAAAACAAGTGTCAACTTTATTTTATATGATACTATATAATTACTAAATACAATTAGACAATTAATTTTTTTAACTTGATTAAATTAAAATATTTATATTTAAATATAATTTTTATTTAAATTTACAATCAATAATTATAAAAATAATTATAACAAAATAATAATAACATCTAATATAATAAAATTCAACATAAATCTTAACATCCATAACATTCATTATCATTCTAATAAAATTCATAATTAATATCCAACCTTAAAATACTAATAACATTTCTTTTGGAATAGATCCAATATGAAGAGTCCAAATGAAAAGAAAGGAACAAAACAATTAGAGTCTAGTATTATTACCTTATTATCTTTGTCAAATTTAAAAAATTATTTAAATAAGACTAAAATAGTATTTCATTACTAATATTAATGGGTTGACAAATGTGTTATTTATACATATTTAAATACGATAACACAATTAATTAAATGTATTTAAAATATGTCTTAAATGTATTAAACATATTTGACATGGTTATGATACGAAACACACAAAGCTAGATTTAAACTTATTTAATTTCATGTCTTCTCGTATCATATTATTATATTGTGTCTAAAATTATCAGATCAACTCTAAATATCATTTTATTGTATTTATGCACTTTTAAGATCAAAACTCAAACTTGAACTCTATCTTTGGTACCCCTAAAAATCAACTTAAATTTAAAATATTTATTTAACATTAAATATTTGTTTAGTGATACGTACATCTATTTTTAATTTAATTTTATCTCTTTCTCAAAAAAAATTAATTAACTAATTTTTATAGTTAATTTTTAATTATGTAGTAATTTATCTTTATATTTAAACCACTTTAATATGTACACCTCTTATTTCATGTTTTATATAAAAATTTAATAAGTTATTTTTTTATTTTTTTATTAAAATTATAACTTATCAATGTTACTAAACAAATTTTACTATCAAATAAGATAAAGAAACACTACATTCAAAGAATTTGTAGATTTTCATACTGAATCAAATGTGAATATGCTATTAGAGACAAATAAAGTAAATATGTAGCTTTAGAAAATCAAATTTACTCCCTTGATCTCGATTCGTTTGTCCCTTATTGACTTTTTAATCAAATAAATTCAATTTTAATAATTATTTTTAATAAAATTATAAAGTCATAAAATGTTAAAAAATAAAAATTACAAATTTTGGGTTTCAAAATTTTCAAAATATAGTTTTAGAAATTTAATTTTATATAATATTTTAAAAAATATTCACCAAAATTGAATTTATTTGATTGAAAAAATTCACAAAAGACAAATAAAATAAGAGAGAAGAAGTATTAGGGAGCTGCAGTGTAATTTTATTGATCAAATTTTTTTAAAAAAATTTAAACTCATATTTTTAAAATAAAAAAATTATACATTAATTAATAAAAAAAAACACGAGCTCGTTGATCATTCTTTTGTCCTCTTCTTTTACACTTATTAATTTTTTTCCATGGAAGAGTCAAACTCAAATTAATTTTGATAACTGTTTTGACAATTGACATCTTTTCCTTTTATCTTTTCAGTTTTTCCCTTTTTGAAAAATAAATTTCAAGAATTAATTTGCAGGTCATTATTCCAAAGTCTAAACAAGACAAAAACAACATTTTTCATAGCAAAAAAACAAAATTAACTTTATTTTAGCAAGGACAATGCTTTGGGCAAGGAATATTCCTTGGATGGAAATGGTAGCCAGAACATATTTTTGGGTTGAAAAACCTGAAATAATATTTAAAAAATCATTTTCTTTTGGTTATGGGATGGGTTATATCATTTTAACTCATTGAATAACTTTTAAACATTTACAAGTTTTATAATGAAAAATTATCTTATATGTTTTTTAAAGGTATAATATTTTAAAAAGTCTCTAAAATTCAAATAAATTTTTATACTTTATTACATTCAGTTAAATTTTTATATTTTTATTTTAAATTAAATAATTTTTATGACTAACAATTAATTAATTATCATTAATTAATATACTACTTGTCAATTTATACTTACATTGTACTAATGTGTAAAGTGAAAATGGTTGTAACCATGTCTTTATATCATATGAGTATACTATATCACCATTCACCATGACATGTTACCATGTTATATTAGCGTTATGTGAGATAACAAATGATAAATGATATTTTAATTAATAATAATTAATTAATTATTAATAATAAAAATTTATTTGATTTAAAATAAAAATATAATAATATAATAAAAGAACATGAGTTTATTTAAATTGTTTTAAAAATTTTAAATTTTTTTTGAAATATTATGTAAAAAAAAACTCCACAAGTTTATATTATAATTTTGTTTTATGAATAATTACATTTATATAGTGTTAAAGATAACAATTTTCTTAGTACATGATAAAGTTAATTAAAAAAAGTCAAATCGTTTTAAGTTGTGGGAAGATTCCCCCATTTGTTTTTTCCTTTTGAAACATTTGTAGCAATATAACAATTCAACTAAGCTAGTGATCATATCAGTAAGCCAATTTATTTATTTTGGTGAGTTGATTTAATTTAGTTGTTGAATCTGATCAAGACATATGGCCTACTCTAAAAATAAAAACTTATAATATTAATATATCTCAAATTCTCAATGTATATTATATATACTATATACTTATTATCCTAAGATATTAAATCTTTTAAACCTCAATACAGGGGTTTAAAGTATCAATAAATGACTAATTGTTCATTCAAGTAACTATGTCAATTTAATAATTTTTCATTTATAATTTAATAAATACATATAAAGTATCTATACCTAATTGTAGAATTTTAAAATTTAAATGATAATATGTAAACATTTAGCAATTATTTTTATCATAAAGGTTTAATTTTGATCTTTATTTTTTTAAAAAATATCATAAATATAATTAAAATTTCAAAAAAAAATTTGGAGAGTTTGCAATTTAAATTGAGCAAATCCTAATTTTTTTTAAAAATTATAATTTTATGATTTTTTCAAAAAATAGAAGATCAAACTTATTTGAACAAAAGCCCAGCCGCGCACCACCTCTCTATTCCTGGGTTTCTCGTCCAACCAGAAGCAAGCAGAGGGGTGGGGGTTGGGGCACGCTAGTTGGGGCCCCGCCCCCTAGACATCTAAAATTTAATAATTTTTTTTAATTTTTTTAGTTTTATTTTCTATTTCTTAAAAAAATTTATAATTTAGTCATTACAAATATTGAATTTTTTATTTTCACCACATTAAGTATAAAATTCTGACTCCAACACGGCTTTCAACCTTCCTTTCTTGAGCCGTGATCACTTATCTTAGCTTATTTTAGATGCTTAACCAAACAAAATTAGTTTTTGTAGACACTGAACTCCCCAATGCCATGAAAACCCTTTCCTTGGCTCACAAAGTCTTAAATATCAAATTTCAAATCTCATATAGTTTTTTTATTTTTTATTTTTGAATAAATTGTGTTATCATAATTGATTTTCGTCTTCAAAGTCTTTATTAATGTCAGTTAACAAAAATTACAATTAAAAAAGTCAAGATAATTACAAAAAAATACTTCAAATTGAGAAACATTGATTGGCTATCCAACAAGGGTTGGCAGCTCTTGACTTAAACCCGAGTTATGGATAGTCTAGAAGTATATTGCCGTTTATCTGGTTTATAAGTTTATTTCTATACTAAGTTTTTACAAAAAGTTGAAAATAGAGGATACCAAGGTATTCCTGTATTTGATTCTCTTTATCAAAAATTGTTCTTCCGTAGTTGATATTGTCATAATTAGAAAATATTACATGAAAGTGACGCTCTTGATCCACCCAGACAAAGATCATTCAATCGCGGTTAAGGGTGCTTTCAAGATTATTTGTCAAACTTGAAAGATTCTTTTATCTTATCACAATAATAAAAAAAAAAGCTTAAGCAAAATGTATTCATTTTTATAAATAATACCTAGTTAGTTCGGATTAGATTCATTTTTATATGTATTCAATTTTTTTATAAATAATACCTAGTTAGCTTTGATTTTGTTATGATTTTATTCCTTCCTTAGAGTCAATTTGGATTTGATTCTTGAGGTCAATCCAATTCTAAAATTAATCACAATTATGATTCCACATTAAAAATAAATTTATTTGAACAAAAATAATTAATGAGTGACAAGTATACTAAGTGCACTCGAGTATTTGATTTATTAAATATATTTAAATATTTAATTTATTAATTAATACATAATTTTTCTATTTAAAAAAAAAGATTTGAACATTTTTTCTCGATTTCAAAAAAAAGAGAGTAGATATTAGGTAGAAAGGGAGGGCCACACCATAAATGTAGGAAACAATATTTTCAAATGGCAATGGGGGACCAAGGCATCTGCCAGCTCCCTTTGGCTTCACCTCTGGCCTCATTATACTTCTTAATTAGCGTTGTTAATTCGTTGTTAGGCTCCAATTAATGCAAAAGGCAAGCTTCTACAAAGTCCACGTTTAACTCTTTAAAAGTAATAAAAAAAAGTGGAATTCGTTAGGAAAAATGTTTATCTGCTAGTACATAAATCTCAACAAAATGAAGAACATCCTCCATAAGATAAAGTATGAGCAATCATCGAGAACAAGCTTGGCTTCCTTAGCTCGAAGAGGCAAAAAATTTTGTTAAGTTTAGATATAATATTTTAAATTTCTTAATCATTTCTAAAAATTTAAATAATTTTTTATTTTTATTATATTTAATTAAATTTTTATAATTAATAAATGATTGATCGTCATTAATCAAACTGTTACTTATTATTATACGATATTTAATGTTGATATGATATGTCTTATTATTTTGTGATATGTAATGTTGAAGTGATATGCTAAATATTATATAAGATAATAACGTAAAATGTTTATGTGATATAATGAAACGTTCAAATGTTAAATTTTATTATGTTTGGGGTCAAATTTTACGACTTTGATCGTACACATTCTCGAATCGAAATGCCAAATGAAGTTGTAAAAGAAAATAAATTAAAACACCCACAGGCATCCCCCAACAAATTTGGTAGAGCTTCCACATGGTCTGCATGATCCATATATATAACCGGCCTCCTCTGTTTGTCAGCTGCAACCACATGGTCCCTAATCACACGACCTATACCAGAAAGCCAGAAACTTAACTCCAACCACATTTGATCTTTACCAATTCAAGGGGACAGTTGGAGCTGTCCGACGCACATGGTTGAAATCAGGGCTTGCCGATAACCCTCTCCATCACTGCTTCTACAATCTTGGACCGACCCACCAGCCATAGAGGAGAGAGACTAGGAATCTGCACCACTCTTTATTAGAGATTAAGCAGTATAGCTAGATGATGGTCACTCTTTAAAAACTTCCATGCTTTCATAAGACGGATCATAACATCAATTTTACAATTTTAAGTGATTTAGAGTCGATTTAAATTTTATAATTTATTTTTTAAAATTATTAATTAAGTAATGATGTTTTATTATTATACATGTAAATTACAATGAAACAGCATACAAAGTGATGAATATTCAAGAAAATCCATACATTTACATTAACCTTCACATTATAATTAATTTACCATTAGGTTTTAATACTTTTAAAATCTCAACTTTTTTATTTAATGTTGTTGATATATTTGTTTTTTATATTGGATATAAGTGTTTTAAATAAGTAACTCTTTAGTTTAAGGGTTAAGATCCTTAAAAAAGATGTTTTTTTAATGAGTTAAAATCTTACTTTGTGAATATTGAACTTATTTTTCGTATAATTTTTAAATAATCATTAGTTAAAAATCGATTCAATGTACCATACCTCTTTTTTTTT